AGGTAGTGTTGCACGCCTTTAATCCCAACCCTTGGGAGGCAGATGCAGGCGGATCTCTGTGAGTTTGAGGCCGGCCTGGTCTACAGATCAAGTTCCAGGACAGCCAAGGCTACACAGAGAAACCCTGCCTCAAAATCAAAAAGACCTATTCTATTATGAGCTTGTAGGTACGCCCTCTTCTGTTTTCCCACCAAATTTATGAATGCTATCAAGTTGATTTTTAAAAATAGAATACAAAATTATTTTCCTTTCACGTGTAGAAGGGTTTGCTGGCACAGATACAGCGTACCACTCTGTGCGCCTGGTGCCCACAAAGGCCAGAAGAGGGCATGCGTCAGAGCCGCTGGAGCTGGAGTTACAGCCGGTTGGCATCTGAGTGCTGGGAGCCCAAGTCCTCTGCAAGGGCAGTGAATGTTCTTCCACCGCTGAGCCTCTCTCCAGCCCCAACAATTTTTACTGTTTCATTCAGTCAGTAAATAAGCGAGCAGGTATCGTAAGCCAGTGGACATCTCAAGAAAGATTATACTCACCTACAAGAGGGGGAAGCCATAAAGGAGGGAAGGCCACTATTAGCAAACTGGAAGATGTTAACAGTGACCAGAAAAGCCAGTTAACCACCCTCATTCATTCAGTCCATTCAACAGTTAGAGCAAGCCTGCCCGGATGTCTCAGCACCTGCCTGGGTTCCACATGAGGGCACCAGAACAGGGGCTCACAGCAGGGACAACAACTGGCCTGTCCCCTGATGTCTGACACACACTTTGTGTCTTAGAAAGTGTTCTTTCATAGAGAGTGTAAATGCATGCCTAAATCCCAGCACTCAGGAGGAGGAAAAAGGACTGAGTTCAAAGCCAGCCTGGAGACCCCATCTCGATAGAACCACAGACCATTGCATGACAAAGTTCACACCTGTCCTGTGAGGAAGAGAGGACTCATGTTATTATCTTCATCTGACAAATCAGCCACTTGTTATTTGGCTTCTGAAGGAATTCTAGGCCCTAATTAAGGTTTCACAACATTAATTAGTGTTTAGAGAGGTATCAATCAGGGTAGACAGTTTACAACATGACTTGGGAACTCAGCCGAAGAACAGGCTGTCCCCGTTTTTGAGACCCTGAAGAAACCCAGTTACCTTTCTCACCGGCGATCCTTGTTTACTGCCTAGCTGGTTACAGAAGAGTCAAGAGCAATCTATGCTGAATCAAGCTCATGAGAGCAGATTCCACAGCCACTAGTAGTGTTTTGAATGAACGTGTACGAACTGCACCAGCTGAGGCTCTGCTAAAGAGACAGCGAGCTATGACAGTGACCCATGCAGAAAGGCGTGAGTGACAAGGAGGGCGCTGCAAACGGAGGTGGTGCAGGTGGGGCAGGTTTGCCCAGTGAAGCAAGCAGAGGATCACCCATTAAATGTGAATCGAAGACACAGTACTTCTGTGGCGTAAACACATGTTCTCTTTTAGCATCCCTGCCCACAGGAGGCCCTGGCTTCCACTGTATGTAATCGCAGAGGGCAGATTCAGTTTCGTACAAAAACAGTGTCCGGCGCACAGCAGGTCCTCAGTACTTGCAGTGTTCTGGCACCCACCGTTTATTTCTTAAGCTGGGTAGTGCAGGCAACCTTGGGCACGCCTCACTCAATCTTGACCTCTGTGTCAGAACCGTATCCTAAAAACGGTTTACAAATTGCAGCACTGATTTGCTCTCATTTTAGTCAGCACACTTTGCCCATCCTATCTCAAGAACTCGGTGGAGAAGCTGGAGTGCGGAAGGACACAGGGCCACCCCCTCCCCAGGGAGAACCCTAAGTGGTTCAGTGTGCGGTCAGTCTTCGTGACGGCAGCCGAGGGGCAGTGTTATTTGCTCTCGTAACGCTTTTTTATGAGCCACTTCTCCTTGATTCGTAAGGACGTAAAAAGCACTGCCTATGCTGGCTCTATGAACCCCAGACAGTTATTTTTAGGGGGAGGGTTGGGATACCACATTTAAGGGAAGCATAATAAAAAAATAATCAAACACACGACTTTATTTGGGGGGAAACCAACAACCCACAAACACAAAACCACATAGCTTAATCTAAAGTGTCTACTAAATGACCCAAATTAAGTTCCTTTTTTTTTTTTTCTTCCTCATAGTACAGACTGGTAACTAGCTCCCACTAGCTGCCCGGCCTCCATACATACTGTCTTAGTTTGCTTAGGACCAAAAGGAGGGAGGGAGGGGCTTATTTATTAGCTTACCCGTCCACATCACAGGCTGTCCTTGTGGGAAGTCAGGACAGAAATCCAAGCATAAGCCTGGAGGCAGGAGCTGAAGGGGCCATGAAAGGGTGCTGCTTACTGGTTCTGTTCCCCCTCCCGTCATTTACTTCGCTTCCTTTTTTATGTACCTCAGAGCCCCTGCCCAGGGGTGCTATCACTCACCATGAGCTGGGCCTTCCTACATCAACTATTCATCAAGGAAATGCCCCACAGACTTGCCTAAAGCCAAGTTTAGGGAGGCATTTTCTCAGTTAAGGTTCCCTCTTCTCAGAAGAGTCTAGCTTGTGTCAAAAGACCCCACACACACACAAAAGACCTAATCAACACACAAAAAAATTAATTTCTAAAACTATTTTAATTTTTTAAATAATGACTATCTGTGTGGGGGAGGGGGTATGTATATGTGAGTTCAGGTCCCTATGGAGAACAGAAAAGGGAGCTGACCGAGTTGCTTAAAGCCGTGGTTCTCAACCTGTGGGTCATGACACCCTTGAAGGGCAAATGACCCTTTCACAGGAGTGGCCTAAGACTACCAGAAAACACAGACATTTACATTAGGATCCGGAACAGTAACAAAATCATAGTCGTGAAGTAACAACAAAGATAATTTTGTGGTTAGGGGTCACCACAACATGAAGGACTAACTGTGTTAAAGGGGTGCAGCTTCAGGAAGCTTGAGAGCCCTGGCTTGCAGGCCTACTTGGACCCGACAGACACCGCCTTGCAGTAACCATTCATGATTATACACCCTGCAAAACATGAACCTGAGGACTTTCCATTACTCTCACACTTGATGCCCGGACCTACTAGGCAGGAAACCAAGTGGGGGAAAAGTTACTGTTGCTATCAGATCTCAGGAGAAGGGAAGGGCAGACCAAGTCAAGGTCAGCAAGTAGGCAGGCGGGAGGTGGGAAAGGTCTCTACCGTAGGAGCAGAGCTCAAAAGCTGACCACAGTCTCCTGCCTCTAAGTCTCTGTCCCTCTTGAGTACAATGCCTGCACATGAGGGTGCTCAGAGTCAGCAAAGCTAGAACTCTGGGGTCAGGCCCTGGAGAAGGAAGCTCTCTGCTGTCAATCATGCGTCTGCTCAGCAAAAAACTCTTCAAGAGAAGACTCAATCGCCAGTATGCTGTTACATACACAGGCTCTTATCTGTTATATACCCTCTCTTAGGATAACTCTACCCCTATTTATTCTACAAATTTCTCTCAAATCTCAACTATAATAAAAATCAGAATGCAGGTCTTTGTGATTCAAAAAATATAGCTTGTTACATAATCCACTGAAGAATTACTTTATACCAGAAAGTAAGTCTCTCTCTTGTGGAGACCAAGCTATGTTCTACTCTAAGTGACTCAATATTGTATGAAACAGCTTCCAAGCTGTGCCTTGTCCAGAGTGACTCCATTTTATCAAGCGACAGGTGGCTCCACTTTAATCAAATGCTGAGTCAGGATGAGTCTCCATCTTAGAAACCACTACTAGTCCATCCACTGTGAACCAGCAGGCACATAATTTGCTTGAGGACACAGAAAAGTGAGGCCCAAGAAATTACTGAACATACCAGATGGATGAGGGATGATCTCCTCACCTGGGTCCCATAAAAGGAGGGAGAGCTAGCATGGACACAGTGTCACCTTTCATCTAAACACCTGGTATAAGCAGCACAGGATAAGATCGATAAGCACCGGACTTCAGACTGTCCCCAGGTTACAGCTTGGTGCTACTCATCAGAACTTGGTTAGGCAGCTCATCCTGCCCTGGTTGTGAATCTTACTCAACCACCTGCACTGCCTCTGTCTTCAGTAAGGCCTCTTTAACTAGTCTGTACAGACATTCCGTGGCCTACTGTGACGTGTGTAATGTGTGCACAAAGAATTAATACCTAAGGTGGGAATAAAAGAACTTAGCCTGCTAACTGCCACACCATCAAGTAGAAGACAAGATCACTCAGTGATGGGGCTGGAGAGATGGCTCAGCAGTTAAGAGCACTGGTTGCTTTTCCAGAGGACCTGGGTTCAATTCCCAGCATACACATGGGAGCTCTCAACTATCTATAACTCTAGATCTGACACCCTCACACAGACATACACACAGGCAAAATACCAAATGCGCATAAGATAAACTCTGACAGCGGAGAAACAAACAAAGGCGTCTGGGCTCTGTTCAATACATCCTCCTTCCCCCATGGCTCGTACCATCAAAAAAACCTAGGAACTGATTTTCGGCATCTAAACTGGTCGCCCTTCATTTAATGACCCCGAGAGAAGTCTAAGTTGAATAGTACTTGCTCAACATTCAAGATTTTTACATCTCTTGTCTGAACGCATCAACAGAACTTTGAGGTAAGAATTGTCTTTATTAAAGAGAAAGGGGGAAAAAAAAAAAGTCTGGCCCGATGGCTGGGTGGAGTAAAGGCACTTGCTACCAAGCCTGACCATCTGAGTTCACTACTTGCAATCAACATGATGGAAGGTGAGTAATGACTCCCACAAAGGTGTCCTCTGATACCCACTCCCACTAAATGTGTGTGTGTGTGTGTGTGTGTGTGTGTGTGTGTGTAAGGCAAGTTTTCTAAGATATTAAAGAAGAAACAACTTCAACCGATAAAAGTTGCTGTCAAATTCTATTTCTCTAGGCCACTTACTATTATCTTTCCATTATTAAAACAAATAAAAAAGCAGTTTGAGCAAAGACATACCCTCCCGCCTCCTCCTCCCTGTCACCAGCGCCCACTTACCTGCAGGACAACCGTTGACTTTTGTAGTATAAGCCATGCTGGCTCAAATCCAAGGATGGACACAGCAAAGGGTGAGGATTCGTGTGAATTTCATATAGCAAGTTCCCAAAGGCTTTCAACCTGAAACAATAGCGGAAGCCCCATCAAACAGGTCGAACAATAAACCTCGGTTTCTGTGGACAGAGATGACAACTAATTGGAGAAGGACAGGCTGGGTGGCTTCCTGAGGCCTGGTCCCAAAGTATCCAGAGAAATGACATGCCCACATGCCCAGGTCTTGAAACAATACACTCAGGGGAGAGAGAACTGGCTTCCTGACACTGACTACCCAGGAGGTGGGCTACCTGACACATGCCCCTCTTCAGCACTCTCTCATTTTTAAATTATATTTAACCATATGATATAACATATATACACACATATATAAGTTTTGAAGCTCATTTGCTTTTCTAAAAAATGATTTGATAATTTCACTTGTCCAACTGCGATTTCGAAGCAGTTCTTGTACCAGGTGCTCCATCTCTTAAAGGTAAAATTTGTATAAATTTCTTTTAAATATTAAGTCTTTTTACCAAGTCCCACTTTTCTTCTAAGCAGTCACTTTGCTAAGATACTAATACAGTGCAGTCAATCTTCTCTTAAAACAAAATTACCTGAACCTTCAGTGACAGAACCTTGCACTGTTTGGTCTCTTAAGGAAAATTTCAAACAAGAGCGCGGCATGCAGTTGGAAAAACTGGATTCCACACTGCACAATACAATTCTAATTTTAAAGTGACTTTCTGTTAAGCTACCTCGGGTTACGGCACAGAGGCATATAACAATTATAAACTTTGAAACAAGCTGGGGGGAAAAATTCTGCTCTAACCACTGCTTTTTAGAAATGCTTCTAAAAACACATTGTCAAAGAAAGTAAATAATTATATCCAGAAACACTACCAATACATCCTAACTCCAGACCTAGGAAGACAGAAGAAACGCACCTCACTGGGAACCGCTGTCAGCCAAGAAACCAAAAGACTTCCCAGAAACAAGAGTGCTAAACAGCAGAAACATAGGCCTCCTGGCGCGGCCGCTGTAACCATGCAGACTTGTCGAGTATATGGTGAAATACTCAGTAGAGGTGAGCTGATTTAGAAAGTAAAAACACTTGCTATGGAAAGCCTGAGTTCAACCCCAGGGAACCAAATCATAAGCCAGATGTGGTGGCTCAAAGGATAAACCAGGAACTCCTTCTGTGAGATAGGAGGTAGAGATAAAAGAATGCCCGGCACAGGGTCTTTTCTGAGACTGACACTCAACCAAGGACCATCTATGGATATAACCTAGAACTTCTGCTTGGATGTGGCCCGTGGTAGCTCAGTAACCAAGTAGTTTTCCAAAGTAAGGGGAACACGGACTATTTCTAACAGGATCTCAAGGGCAGGCTGTTTGACTGCCCCCCCCCCCTAGGGGAGGAGCAGTCTGTTAGGCCACAGAGGAGGACTTTGCAGCCAGCCCTAAAGATACCTGATAAAACAGGGTCAAATGAAAGGGGAGGAGGTCCTCCCCTATCAGTGGACTTGGAAAGGGGCAGGGAGGAGACCAGGGAGGGAGTGTGGGGTTGGGGAGGGAATGAGGGAGCGGGATACAGCTGGGACACAGAGTTAACAAAATGTAACTAAAAAGAAAAATAAAATTAAAAAAAAAAAAAGATTCAAAAAAAAAAAAAAAAAAGAGAATGCCCGGGGGACACAAGCCAGCAGCAGAAACCAGAGACCCTGTTTCCATAATGTACAAGGAGAAAATTGACCCCTCGAAGAGAACCGACCTCCGTATGCACTCACGGCACACGTGTTCACACACGTAACACACATATCAACAAAAACTTAGAATTAACAATAAATGTGTGTGTGTGCACACCTTCACAGCAGCTGCACACAAATCAATGTAATATTAATTCTCTAATGCCAAGAAGAGCCGACGCTCATTAATCTCTAACCGCTATCAAAATCTCTATTGTCACATGTTTCAGTACGCTGTGATTTTTAAGTACCACTGACTTTTAAAAAGATACTGCCAATCAAATTATAAACCTGAGCTTGTTTTTAAAAGTGTTTGTGTATTTAATTAAAAAAAAAAAAAACAGAAGTAAATGAATCAGGATGTCCACTGTGGTTGCCCTGGCAACCATGAAGTGATAGAAGATGCTGGCTCCTTCATTATTTCAATAATAATAATAATAATAATAATAATAATAATAATAATAATAATATCATCAGTGTCTGGACTCATCTTTTGGGCTTCATTTGCTTTGAAAGAGGAGATGCAAGAACAGGAATCCCGTGTAGCAGGCATGGCTCGGGCCACCTTCCGAACACACAGGATGTTAGTAATACTTGTAAGAAAGAATGAAGGGAAAGATGGCTACTGACTGTGATCACATAGGGTGCGAGCCTTGCTCCTTAGCTAGAGAAACTGTCCTCGCTGTTCATAGCTGCAAACTCAAAAGGACTTTTTGTGGTTAAAGGCTGCTTGAGGGGCATGGCCTCCTGCACACTCTTGCAGTTACAGCAGAGAGCTGTGCTGAGACAGCTCGAGTTCTGCACCCTCCACTCGCTGCTGGAGCTTCTGCATACCCGGGCAGGCTGGCTCTAATCTCTCTCACCTGACACTCCCTGGGAAATGGGGCGCTGGACCTTGCAGGGCTGTGCACAGCGGGAGCTGGCTGTGTTAAAAGGCGAGCTTTAGGGACAGAAAGAACAGAAGTGGCTATCAATGTCTGCCAGGTATGGCGTTATGAAAACAGAATTCGGAGCCTGGAAAGACTAGAGGGGAGGAGTGGGGGTGAGGAAGGGAGAGGTCAAGGAGGAAGCCAAGCTTCTGGAATCCATCAACTAATCACACTTCTAAAAGCCACAGCAACCAAAACCTCAGCCCGAACCCTGTTTTCTGGCCCCTCAGTGGCCTCTCAGGTTTGTGCTCTTTTATCAATTCAGAGTGGCTTGTAAATACCACCATTTAACCTGTTGCGGGCAAGCAGAAGACAAGAAGAGACAAGCTGAGGGTGTCAGGGGTGAATGAAGTATGTGTCAAGGTATTTGGATGGAGAGGAGCCCAGAATCTACCTAGCCAAGCTTCATAAACCTTGGCCCAACACATGCACACACACACTCACTCTCTGAAACTCTCTCACCTGGCAGGAGATCTTTATCTCAGATCCAAATTGGTTTCTCCCACCCTCTCCTAAAACAGAACAATACAATAAAAAGAAGAAGGAAGCCTAAAATTAGGAGCTACAAGGATGTCGTGGATAAAATGGCTGACAGTTTCTGTGTTGAAATGCAGCTGAGAGCAGCTGTCACCTGTGGAGCAGTCCCTGCCAGGCATTATCCCATCTGACAGGTGGCCTTCCAACTGTAAGGACCCGCTCTTCCTAACGAAGCGCTGTCTTTTATCAGTCCACTGAAGAAAGCAGAGAACACAGTCATGGCCCATGCCAGTGTTTCAGATCAATAAAGCATTTCTTTCCTCCCTTGGAAGAAAGCGCCAACCACTAACTCATCCATGGTGCAAGAGTTCTGCTACCTACAAAAAATAAAAATAAAAAGAATTGGGGAAATAAATTGATTTGGGGAAATGCTTCAATAGAGAAAATAAAGAATGCACCTTCTCTCTTTTATTTCCAGAGACTGAATGGCACCAAGGATCATCCCCAATTTATCACCTTGTTTACCCCTCCTAAGACCCTGCGAAACATTAAAATCCATTCCTTCAGTTTACAAGCAGCAAAGGCTTGGAGCGTACCCAGGTCACACAGCTACACGACTGGGCGGACGCAGCTGGGCTTGCTGCGCTTATGGGAGTAGCAGCAAGAGCACAGGGCTTGTCACAAGAGAGTGTTACACGCGCTGACACGTCATGGCCCTTTCAAACCTTGCGAGGGGACGCACAGCCTCAGTGCAGGGACCCTTTGACTCAATCCGCTTTTAGACAGAAAGGACTGTAAGTGAAGCAAGAAAGCAAGATGGCCTAAGGACACTCAGAGAGGAGGAAGTAGACCCTACCAAAATCGACAGGACACACCACTGCACAAATGCCTTTGCTCTAACTTTAAAAACTGACAGCTCAACGACAAGCCTCCAAAACCCTGTCTAACTTACCACAGACGACCGTCCACACATTCCTGTAGGCACTGCAAAGGCCGTCAACAACCTAATTAACAGCAACGATTAAAAGTACGTCAGAGTGTGGCCACGGTTGAGGATCAGATTCTCTCGCAGTGGTTTCCTGTGCTCACCCCCATCTAGGAGTGGGGGAAATGTGAACCAGCCCTTCCTCGTTTTGCAGTTATGCCACCTAGTACAATCCAACCTCATTTGACCCCTTCGTCTACAGCAGATAAATTTCTTTCTGTGGAAGAGGGGTGGAGGGAGGGGACGAGGGGGAACGAAGAGAGGGAGAGAGAAGTGGGAGGAAGTGGAAGGGGGAGAAGGAGAGAGAATCTTACCTAGATACTGGCTTTCGTTTGTAATGTAGGAAGAAGGCTAGGGTTTACCTATGGGGATATTTCGTGCTATGTTTGTCGACACAGCGGTATTTGCAACTTCATGTGTTGGGGTAACCCCAGATGAAAGGCTGAAGTAGGTACTTTTAAATCACAGAAACCAATTAAACACAGACACTAAGGAGAAAAAAAATAAGCACCAGTGATTAAGTTCCTCCATCTGCCCATCCATCCACCCATCCATCCAGCCATCCACTCCTCATTCCATGTTTGACTATCATAAGCCTATCTGATTTTGAACCTCAGCACTGAGCAAAGGAGCCCCACATCCGTGCTCTTCTCTGAAATAAGCCAGCTGGGGATCTGTGCTTCGGGAACAGAGAAAACGTAGGTTTCTGGTATGCTCAGTGATCAGCTGCACCAAAAGCTCATCTTTCTGTCTTACTTGACAAGTTCCCAAGATAATGCTGGCCTCCTTGTGTACTTCATTCCAAAGTGGGTGTGGGTGAGCCATGCCCGTTCACAGACCCCTATTGTTCACCTACAGCCACCCAACGTCACAAAAGGACACCGGCATCTTTCCCAGAGTGTGAAGGAGTTGTGGGCAGGCCAACGCCACCTGGAAGCCTCCAGA